GTCTGGGGGCATCAGAGGCACTGTTAAGCAAGAATGTGAAATAAAGAGGAAACACTGATTCATACTTCTAAACTATAATGAATACCTAAAAGGTAAATAACTACAGTATTGAACCAGCCTGTTAGTGGAGTGTTGTGAAAGTTTTTGTCACAGGTAAAGCCCAAGAAGACTCAGAGCATTTAATCCAGTCATCCATTTTCTTCCGCTTATCCGAGGTCGGGTTGCGATGGCCAAAAGCAAAGTAAGTCAACCCAGACTTCCCTCTCCACAGCATTTAAGGTGCTCTCAACGTGGAGGGATAAATAAATTCAATACGTGTTTTTTCCCAGATTCCTTCCTCGATTCTGAGAGCTCACCTTCAAGACAATCAGCTTGAACTGAAATTATTTTTTTCTTTTTGGGCTTTTGACTTTATTTGGATAAGACAGTGGATAGAGTAGGAAATCAGGAGAAAGAGAGAGAGAGAGTGGGGACTTGCATGCAGGAAAAGAGCCTCAGGTCGGACATGAATCAGGGCTGCCCACTTGAAGGACTATAGCCTCTGTACATGGAAAGAACATCAACGCCCCTGGAATTGAAATTCTAAGAAGTCATAGGTTAACACATCAAACTAGCTATTTAAGATTCACAAGTCAACGTGTCTAAACCGACACTGAAACTTAAACTAGTCCTGTCAAAAGATTAAAGTGTAACTGTGATTAACCACACAGTGACTTCTCATTCCACACAACTTTTAAATTCTCTATTTACTTTCTAAAAACGTAATACTCAAAATGCGGCACATTGAAATGAAAAGAAAGTTATTAACCTGTTGCATCCCTGCCAGAATAGCTGATTTAGAATTTTGGGGTACCTGAAGCGGCTAATCACATTTTAAATGAGGTGCAGGCCACCCTGGACATTTTACTACTTCTACTCTGAGAAGACACATTCTCTGTTTCTGTTCAGAAGTTATTGACAAAACAGTGGCTCTGGTTTATTTAATCACAAAGCATGGGAAGAAAACTTGACCTTTACGAATTGAAAAACCAATGCAGCGATGTCTGTCCATACACAGAGCTGTGATTTATGTGAAGCTTGTACTGATGTGGTACAGCAATGCACGGCGATCATCTAGTCTGAGCCATCATGAACTGAGCTGCACAACAGCACCTCTGTTTCCTGCAGTGAGTTAAAGCCTGCAGAGGACAGGGAGAGGGTTCACTTCAGGATGAATGTGCATCAGAGCAGCGAAACAATCCGTGGAGCAGGAGGCGAGCAGGCCACACTGCCTCTGATTCACACGGAGTCCCACGGCTTCCGTCTGTGCACACCCAAAACAAACAGATCCTTTGTTACACACTGATACAGCTGTCCTTCCTCACAGCAACAGCAGCTCAACCCGAAACACCTGCGGGCTATTTGTGCTTTAAACACTAAATAAATGTCTCTCCACATGTTTGTTATGATTACTAAGATACTCTGTGGAGTGATGTTTATGAGGAAATGACATTCAGTTGTTTCTGCAGACGGCTCCTCACACACGGTGACTACATATTTCTGCAAGTTAAGCCTGGCTTAATCTCAATCTCAAGCATGCTCACACTAAAAGAGATGAAAATCATGGCACATCACACACTACAGGATTTTACTGAGATCACCGTACCCGACGGAGGAACGCACCACCTCATGTGACCTCACGTAAACAATGGAGCTGGCGGTTAAATTTGCGATTATAATGCTGAGAGGACGAAAACATTTATCTTTTTAAAAAAAGTTTTAGGTGAAGAAATGTCTGGAGTGACTCAGACAACATGGATTGTCTGTTCTTCAGAGAGAGCTGGAGGTCACCTGTGCAGGTTGCGTCCTGCCACTTGTTGCCCCTCCTGTCCACTCATCCATTGTCTCTCACTTTATTGTAGTCACACACAACTTCCTCTAGACCCGTTTATGACGTAATCGTCAAGATTTTAAATCCTAAACATCAAACATGTTAGAAATCAATTTGGGCATCCCAGACGATCTTCGAGCAGATTGTGGACATTAAGATTGGATCTCTATACGACTCACACAACAAGATCATCTGGGAAGATAATCGGTTCTGAGCAGCCTTGAGTCTGGAACGACCCCACGATATTCGGGAAGGAGGAATCGGACCACAAATCGACCTGATTATCCTGCAGCCTGAGCCAGGCTTTAAAGAAAGTTGTCTTACCTTTTTGATCATTAAAAACAAACAATTTGCCAAACACTGGGTGCTTAGGACATCTTTTTTTGTGGTCGTGGCATCGTAACAATTATCAAAATGTTTCTAATTTACCTAGCATTATATCAAAGTTACAAATTCTTGTATCATGACAACCCTAGTGTTTATGTCTACATTGTATAATCCAACCACTACACTCAGCTGACAGGATGATGTTTTCTGTTTATATTTAAAGATGACTGAGCAAAAGGACAACAGAAATGCAGACTTCATGTTAAATACTTCCACTGAAAATTATAAAAAATAGACATACATGACAGTGACGTGCGGTGAGGTTCGCGGCTGGTGAGGCACTGACTTTTCACAGTCGGATTTACAAATATGAACCCTTTTATAGAGTATCTTAAACTACATGATAATAAAGTAACGAGACGACCTTAAAGTCAACATTTATTCTGCTCAGGAGGATCCAAACCTAAACTGACAAGGTGCTTGAAGTCAAAACAACAAGGAGAGATGGATCATTGTGATTGTGAGTCTCTTCTTTGTGATCTGATAAATGCGGCACTGGGCAGCCGCAATAAAAAGTGCTCCATCACTAAGATTAGTATTGAGCCCAGTCAAATGGAAGAACATTCAGCTGTGCCCAGGGAACTCAAAATATGTTTGTTTGCTTCATCTAGTGCTTTCACTTTGGAAAAAGGAGCCACATTTCATGTCAAAGTAAGCTGCAGTCCTTCACTAACAGGATGACTGATACGTCTGCAGGAGCTCAGTAATGAAACCAAAGCACTGCCATTCTGACTGGGAGGAAAAACCAATTGGATGACGAGGGTTAAAGGTTTCTGAAGGAAGATTTAATGAAGTCTCTGAGGGGAGCAGCCTCTGAGGCTTGATGTGTTCCACATAAATGTCCTCCTCGTCCAGAGAAGAGAATCTGAGCTCCTCTGGACATTGATTTAGACTTCCCATATCCAGGTCAAACAGGTTTAAGACGGTACTTTTTCACAGGCCATTAAAGTGATATTTCTCTGATCTTTAATTTTAACATTTAACTGATGGTGGTTTCAATGGTGGATTAACAATTTAAGTGTCCTGATGTCACTTGATTTATTCATGTAATTTATAAAGATGGTTTTTGGCCTCTGACTTCATTCCTAGGGCAGTGAGTGAGGCTGGGCTTCCCACAATCATGAAAACAAGATAATCAAGATTTAAATGATTACTCTACTTCTGCAAAAAAAAGGGGGAACAGAGAGCGAGGATGATGTGCACCAAAGGGACGAGGGTCGGAGTCAAGCAGGGACCGATAAGGATGACTGTTCTACCAACCAGGGTTAACCACTGCTATTCATTTATTTTTCCTTTTTTCATCCATTAGTCCATTTGCCCATCTCTCTTTGTTTTCCCCCCTCCTCTTCCCTGGCTGTAAGAAACATTTACCTTTGATAATAAAGCTGTAATGATGTAAAACAGGCCTCAGTTCCAGTTCCACACTCACCTGATCATTAGTCCTTAGATTAAGTATCTGTACTTTCTTATCATCCTCTGGTCAAAGCAGATGTGTAAAGCACCAAGAAGCAAGAACATCTGCACCCCAGGGAGCTCCCGATAAAGGATGTATTAAGCAATAGGAGACGTTTCTAGCCAACATAATCGAGTGAAACGTCCCTTTTCCAACATGCTGATGTGTGGATGTTTTTGCTTCTTTATGCCTGTTTATTTTGGATCCAGAACCCACTTAGGAATGTGTCAAAAGTTGCATATGATGCTGAAAATAATCTATACAAACATGTGACTCCAGGATTGCTAACACACTGACTCACTGACAGATAACATATCTGAGTATTCTAGCTCACTTCCTGCCATATCGCTCGTTAACTGTGACTGAGTGCTGACGGACACCGTGTCTAATTATAATAGTGGCAGTATAACCAAAGAGCAAAGTTCATATCAAGCTGCAGCTACAGTGAGTAACCTCAGGTTCATGTTCGCACAGGAACTCCACAGAGATTCACGAAGACGAATCTCTGAAGGCGTTGTACCCAGATAGTAACACGCAGCAGCAGGAGTGCCGACATGTATTTGGATGATTTGTAAAAATGTGGCTGCTTAATCAGAGTAAAGCCTGGGCAAACTTTCAGTCACAGCTGCCAGGTTGCAGCTCTGCAGAGATTCATTCGGAAGCCTGGAGACTGATCCAAAGACTATTTTTGATCAGGCTTCTTCTGCACATGGACCTTTGTGTCAGAGAATGTATCTGTGCATGTTTCTGGGAGGTGCATTTAGAGCACACTGAGTTTGCAGTCTGCCCATGAAGTAGTAGTCTCCATAAAGGGAAAGAAATGTGCCCTCCAGCATGAAGATGCTAACACAACAGGCCGGGACCTGCCTTTAAAACCTTCATACCTGCTGAGCAGCAGTTGTGTGTAAACAAGGGGCTATAATGTAGGTGTGTTACAGTCTGGTTCTTCCATGCTTTCCCAACAAGCCTGACAAAAACATGACCTACAGCAGGTCAGAACACTGAGTCACCAGTGCCTGCTAAACACTTTAAAGCCTGTAATGGCCTAATTCTTAAGTTTAACCCACAAAGGTCATACTACACAGCCTCCATATGGATCCAAAATAAAATAATATACACCAACAAATCAGCATAAATCAGCCAGATAGGAGACAACGGTTTTTTTTTTTTTCAAATTGCAGTTCAGAAGAATAAGAAGCCTATCCATGAAGCCCCGGGGTTTTACAGAAGTTTCTAGAAGTGGTGAAAGTTGTGTTCTTGTTATGAAGGTTGCATTCCTTAAGATCCTACCTTCTTCTGGCTCCACAATGTCCAGACTTGTTTGTTTCCTGCGAAAAGCGACTCTGCTGAATCCCTCCATTCTTGTGACAGGCAGAGACCGCTCCAGCATTGAGACACTGAAGTGAAACGCATTCAAAGTGACCGGAAATTACTCTTCGAAAAAGAAAACAGAAAGAGCGAAAGAAGCGCGCTCGTCCCCTCTGTGCAGGTAAAAGTCTCGCCTGAGCGGCCGGATGAGGAGGAGTGTGAAGTGAACCACCTGCTCAGGTTAATAACAAAACAATAAATACAAAACAATCAGAAATAAATTAGTTGAGACACCCCGAAGTTTGATAAACAGCTGTCCACATGTGTCAGGGGGTGGGTCGAGATCACCCACTTCTCGCCGAGCAAAGTCACCTTGATGAGGGTGTTATTCTAAGCCCCGCCCCTCTCCCCCCCTCTCAGTGCGTACTGACGATGCAGACCTCCTTATTATATCTTAAGCACAATGCTCCTACTGTTTAGCACGACACACACACACACACACACACACACACACACACACACACACACACACACACACACATTCATGAGGATTTCTTAAAGACACAATTATGTTCGTCAGATGCCTGCTTTATGAACTTTCAAACAATGTCAAGTCTGTTTCGATATCACTGCAACAACATATTTAATTCAGAGCCTACAGTTTAAAGGTAAATGGACAATAGAAGATTTGAGAAGATTTTACTTTATTGATCCCCACAAGGGGAAATTTCAGTTTTTACACTCTGTAGTCATGCAACACACACATAGGCTGAAGTATATACACACATGCACACAAACAGGATCCTATGGACATGTACTAAGGGAGAGATGTCAGAGTGGCGGAGCTGCCCACAGTGGGCGCTCCTGAGCTGGTGGTAGGGAGGGGGTTTGGTGCCTTGCTCAAGGGCACCTCAGCAGTGCTCAGGAGGTGATCTGGCACCTCTCCAGCTACCAGACCAACTTCCATACTTGGTCCACACCGGGACTTGAGCGGCAACCCTCTGGTTCCCAACCCAAGTCCCTACAGACTGAGCTACTGCCGCCAATGCACAATGCACATTCAAAGCATACTGTAATGTGCCAGTTTAGCCATCGTGGCAAAGTTCAGAGTTATGATATATGTTAAAGAAGGGATTAAGAGTAAACAAATGGATTTGCCTACTGATAATCTGGAATGTGTTGGAGTTACTATCACTCTCTCTCATGAAATGTCGTTTAATGTAATTGTTTTGTATCGTCCACCAAATGAAAAGGATCTGTTCTTTAATAATTTATCTTCTGTTCTCAAAAAGTGTAATGGCAAAGAAGCTATCTTAATGGGTGATTTCAATCTGAACTGGTTGGATAAAACACGCAGAAAGACGTTAAAGGGCATTGCCATTAAATTTCAGCTGACTCAGATCATAGAAAATATCAAGATTCAAGAATAACAAGAATCAAGAATAACAAGATCTTCAAAGACTTTGTTAGATTTAATTTTCACCAACAAAGTAGAACATATATCAAAAACATTTAATCTAATTACAGGCATGTCTGATCATAATTTTACTTTAGCTGCGAGACAACTCTCCAAGATGCGTTACAGAAATCCAGATAAAATGATAGGAAAGAAATGTATTTCACTTATTCCAAAGAAAGATATAGAAAACTTTGAGGATGAAGTCAGGAAAACTAAATGGGAAAGTATAATTAATGGTAAAAACTGTGAGCAAGCCTGTGAGGAATTAATGTCCACACTGAAGCAACTCCTGTCCAAATACACTAAAACACTACCCCTGAAGCATAACAGCAAACAAACTTTGCCCTGGTTTAATGACACCTCACAGCACTTAATGAAGATTAGAGATGCAGCTCTAAAAAAAATCTCTAAAATCAGGTCTGGAAACTGATCGAATGATATTCAAGAGCCTTAGAAATAAAGCCACAGGGCAACTCCGGAAGGCTAAAGCCAATTTCTTTCTGGAGATAATAAAACAGGCAAAAGGAAACACTAAACAGTTGTGGAAAAATGTAGATCAACTTACTGGAAAAGCTTGCTCCAAGAGCAGACCTATAGAGCTTAAATTAAATGGGGTTATACAGGATGACAGTCTAGCTGTTGCAAATGGTTTTAATGAGTATTTTCTTGAGTCTGTTTTAGAATTGGGGAGCAATTCCAATGAATTCCAGCTACCCACTGTTTTAACAAACGAAACAAATGCTCTGCATTTTAAATATGTAGATGAGGCAAAGGTAAACAAAATAGTATCATCATTATCTAATTCGAAAGAAAAGGACACTTGGGGAATTGATACGGTTTTTCTTAAAAAATTTAGGGATGATTTAACAGCCTCTGTCACTCAAATGATAAACCGGTCACTGGACGAAAGTGTATTCCCTAGCACTCTGAAGACTGCTATTGTAACTCCTGTTCACAAATCAGGGGACAGACAGGAAGTGAGCAACTATCGTCCCATCAGTATATTGCCTGCCATTTCAAAAGTTATTGAAAAGGTTGTTGCTGAACAACTGGTAGCCCATCTTAATATTGAAAATCTACTGCACCCTATGCAATTTGGGTTTCGAGCAAACCATTCCACTGAAACGGCATGTTGCTACTAGTCATTAAAGGTAGCCTTGATAAAGGAGGGGTGGTGGGTGCTGTATTTCTTGACCTGCACAAGGCTTTTGATACAGTTAATCATTCAGTTCTCATCTCCAAATTGTCTAAATTTAAATTCTGTTAACGTTGTCAATTGGATTCAGTCTTACCTACTTGGTCGCTCCCAGTGCGTACGGATAAATGATAAAATATCATCACTAAAAGCCTGCGTTATGGGAGTGCCACAAGGTTCCATCTTAGGACCGTTGTTGTTTAGTGCATACATCAATGATCTCCCATCTGTGTGTGATGATGTGGGGACCTTGATGTATGTAGATGACACGGTCCTATATGCATGTGGGAAAGACCCTGAACAAGTAGCTGCCAAACTGTCATTAGCAATGGAACAAGTCATAGAATGGTTACGTTATTCATGTCTGACTCTTAATACTGACAAAACTGTGGTCATGTATTTTGTGAATAAACACAAAAATATGGTTTTTCCAAATATTATTGTAGGTGGGCAAATGATAAAAAAGGTCGATGAGTTTAAATACTTGGGTGTTACACTAGACCACAACCTTACTTTTAAAAGTCATATTAAAAAGATGTGTCATAAAGTTAAATATAACATAGCCAACTTTAGACATATCAGGAACTCACTTACAGTCGAAGCGTCTAAAATGTATTTGAATGCTATGATTTTTTCTTACTTTCATTACTGTATATCATGTTGGTCCCAAGCAAACAAGACTGTTTTAAAACCCATAAGGTCACTTCATAAACAAGCCCTTAAAACTCTGGACAGGAAACCACAACAGTATCATCATTGTGATATTCTTGATAAATATAAAATTCTGAGCTTTGACAATTTAATTTTTTATACTGATGTCCGCTTAGTGTACAAAATAATCCATGATGCTGCTCCCCCACCATTGAAAAGCTTTGTGAAACTTCGCTCTGAGCTGATAAGCAGATCTTCAAGGTCTGCCTCTAATGGAGATTGCAGTGTTCCTAAACGTGGCTCCGCTTTAGCACAATCTGTTTTTTCTTTTAAAGCCGTTAAGGAATGGAATAGTCTTCCAACTAGTCTTAAACTTTGCACAAACTTCTGCACTTTCACCCGGGAAGTCAAAAAAATGGATTTTAAGGAACCAGCCTTGTCAGTATTAATGTGTCATCTCGACAACCTTTTAGATCTCTCAGGGAAACTATAATGTTTTAATATCTGTAAATTGTTCTATGTCTTTCTTCTCTCGTGTGCGTGCGTGCATGCATGCGTGCGTGCAGGCGTGTGTCTGGTTGATTTGTATTTTGCTGTTGCCATCATCTGCCCAGGGACAACAGATGGAAATTAGCTAGCTAGCTAAATCTGGTACAAAGCATCTCTTCTCTTCTGAGACTAATGTTTTTTTTTGTACACTGTCCCTGATTCAAATAAACGGTTAATTAATTAATTAAGTCCCTGGACAGGTGCGTGACAGAACAATAGTCACAAAAAGAGCGGCAATACTGCACAGTGCACACTAGGCAGGGCACACATAGTTCTGTATAGGACGCCAGGACAGCAGTAGCCGACAACATACAAGTCCTATAGGCCCCCGATTTTGGGTAATTTCTTGTTTTGGCCTAAATTAACAAAAATGGCTCCTGCAAACTGTCTACATTGCACAATTAATACTCTGGCAATGTTTTAGTAACTACTGAAAGTTGCCAATCTATTTGTGCAATTGAGAGGCCTACAGTGTGGCTGCTTTGGTTTAAAATATGCCAAAAAATCTAAAGTATTTTTCTTTGATAGCTACTAGTTATAATAGCTGTGATTGTTCCCAACCCGATCAAAAAGTATTAACAAAGTGTCTACATTTTTTAACAACCTTGGTATCAGTTTTGTTTTAAATTTTTTATAAAGAGTTATATTAAGGCTTTTTGTGTCTTTATTTGAGAGATAGGACAGTGGAGTTTTAATTAAGTTAAACTTATTAAATAAGTGTTGATTGGATATTTCCCTTGCCAGAGTTGGGACTTAAGTTGAATTCCACTTTTCAGGCTGTGTTTTAAAAGGCAGCTCATAGTTTTCAGTGTGCAGATGTTTCCTGTATTTTTCATAATACTTTAAATTGTGACTTTGGACCTAGGCTACATATTGTTTTGAGTCCTTGACGAACTACGCTTAGAAGACGTAGGCCTATATGTTACAATTATCTTGTGTTATTTAAAAGTCGATGTTATTAGTGCAGATAGACGGGGTAAATAAATGCTCTTTATTCATGTGTGTGCACAAAAACTTCAGGCCACCCCTGCACAAGTCAGAGCCCCAGTCTTAAAAGTCTAGACACACCCCTGCAAACATGTGAGTTAAAACTTCCTTCTGTGGTAACCATGGAGACAAGCAGAGCAGAGTGCAGTAGAATGTTTGGGTTGCTTGGCAACAGTTCAGATTCAGTCAACATGTGGAACTAGCTGAGTTGTTGGACTAAAATAATGACGTGTTTTTATTTTCACCGGTTCCTTCTGAACGTTTGTCGTTGAACTGTTAGGGGTTAGAGCTGCAGCGCTGATACTCAGTAAAACAGCCCTCCCCATCCCTCGTGTGATTCTGCACAAAACACACTTTTGCAACATTTTTTTGTTGCCGATAGCCTTGTCAAAAGTTTTCTTTTCTCTATTAAGGAAACAAAAACATCTGCAGTTTACCAACTATATAATCAATGAATAAAAGTAGGCTACCAAGTCAAGAAGCAGGAAGTGAATTTCTTTTGACTTAATCAACACATTAAGGCAGAGAAACAGACACAAACACAAATCCAAGGGCAGGTCTTTTATTCACGTTTGAAACCAATTATTACTGTTTAAACTGGAGGAGCAACGTTCACTGAAACCCACTGTAGTACAGCAAACTGTAGTGCTACCATTCTCTTAATGCAGGGTGGTCTATCATCTTTTATTGGGTTAGTCTCTCTGTCTCTCTTGTGCACACAAATCAGGAGAGCTGGGTCACCAATGAGCCTGTGTCCAGAGGGTTCAGAAGCTTTTTTTGTTTTGGACTCCTCTTTTTATTTGATCACTCTGTAGCTGCAAAATTGACAATTTGAACGAACACAGATCCCACAGGTGTAGCTACACAGAGACACAAAACGAGTCCACTCATCCATCGCTGATGAGACACAGATGATTGGATCTCTTACTACAACACTTTACTGGCTTTGGAGTTTTCACTTTTTCTATTAGATCCATCTGGATAAAAGTTTGAATTCATTGCAGCGAGGAGAACATTTACATCGAAGACATAATGAGGGTTTAAATCCAGAGAGAAGGACTTTAATGATGCAACAACAAACGTCACACATTACATCCGTGTCAGCACGACTTTGCTCTCCGTTCCTCTGCAGATCAAAACAGTCTGTATCTGTACGATTGAGACATGTTTTTGCTATCAGCCTGCTGGTTGGTTCAACGGGACAGAAATTGTTGAAAGATTTCATTACGGTAAATGTATTTTTTAAATCACTCTTAAACCGGAGCTAATGTATTGCTTTAATGCATAGTGCATAATTGTGCTTGGACAGTATTGCATACTGATAGGAGGAAGCATGTGGAGGCAGATACACATGGAGATTCCACAGTGACAGACAGGTGAAGCATTTGATATGAGAAATGTCACTTTTCACACATTTCTGTCCCTGCAGGAGAAACTATAATAACAGTTTTCAGGGGCTGTGACCGCTAAGAGACAACACTTTATGGATGTGAATACAACAGTTATCCTCACAGGGACTGTAGCACTAGAAGAGGCACACCTTTAGGGAATCCTCTGCCTTCAGCTAGTGTTAAAAAGATGGAGGTCAGTTCACTCCATGGTCACTTAAACCTGTGCAATTCAAAAGGCAAAGAAAGAATGAAAAACCAGGCCAACAGCCCTAGTCCTGATCTCACACACTCCGCCTCTCGTCTCCGTCTCGGTCTCTGAGGAGATCCGAGCTACAAAACAGACACACCAATGTCACTAGAGTCTGCTGTAAAAAATAAATAAATTATAAGAGGTATAAAATAGTCTTCAAGCACATGATTTGCAAATAAAATCTCTGTATAAAAAACACAAGCATTCAAAGAAAGAGTAGAGAATGACGTTAGAAAGGGAGCTGAAATCCACCCATCAGGGCCCACCTCCAGTGTCAAACCCAGTGTACTCACTCTGCTCCGGAAACTGGCATACATGTTTTTTGATTATCATATTTGCAGAATCTAACATTTTAAGATTTGTGTAGTACTGTTAGGTGAGTTTTAAACCTGTTTTTTTTTTTTTGCAGAAAAGACTGCTTTAAGTCGGCGTAATCACAGCAGTTTAACACCTAATGTCTTCTGTTTCATCTTTAAAAATGACAAACAACAAAGAGAAAACATTCCTGTAATAAATATCTCAAAAATATTCACAAATGAATATAATAAATAAGCGACAGAGTAGATAAATAATTAATAAATACTAATACCGATAAGGGAAAAGATTCCCCTGATTTATCACTCTGGCGTGTTTGAGCCTCAGGTCCTTTTTTTTTTTCCAGAGAAGAAGAGAACATCCTGCTCTTCTTCTGTGACCCAGGTAACCAGGAGGCGTGCCGTGGGAGGGAGGGGGTGTGGTCACAGAGTCCAGTAAGCACCAGATTGGATTGAGGCTGGGGAAGGGGAGGTTATCTGAGGGAACTCCCCGCCAGCGTATCTGTCTCTGTAGGACTCCTACCAGGCTGGGACCAGGACCCGGGCTGGAGCGGGATGGTTAGGTGCCAGGGGGCTGGGGCTGCTTGGTGAGACAGTAACGAGGGTCGCAGGGGGAGAGAAGGCTGCTTCTGCTCGACAGGACTGCGTGGTCTGCCAATAATTTAAGACTGTAAGAATGAAAAAAGAAACGAGAAAGAACAAAGACCGTTTAGCTTAAGAAGAGGGAAACAATTCAGGGGAGGAAAAAAGTCAGACCAAATCTACAACCCAAAACTCAACATTTGACAAAAAATTGACATGGTGCTCCTTAAAGAAAAGTTATTTTGGGGAAATATTCCAATACTTAATCTTTCGCACAGTTAGAATAAGAAGTCCGACTCTCATGTTTGTCAGTGAAATATAAAGTTTTGCACTGAGCAAGCAGCCGGTTAGCTTAGCTTAGCACAAAGACTGAAAACAGTAGGAAACTGCTAGCATACCTTTACGAAAAGGTAAAAGCAGCTGCCTAGAGGAAACTTTGTGCAACACCCTGCAATGGCAGTACAGAGGGGGGTTGTGTTCCTGATCACTGGAAGTCTCCACGTCACATCCCCTATAAATACTGTAGCGCAGTTACCACCAACGCACAGCAATTTTTTTTACTCTTACTGCTGGCTGTTGTTTTTTTTAATTAGATGTGTTTTGCAATGAGGTTGATTTACATAAAAAGGGGCAATTTTACCCCAAAATACAACAACAAACAGCACTGATGCACAGAGACGCTGTTTGCTACGCAGGGCAGTTAGCATTCAAGCCTTTGCATGTGTTTTGTGAAATAGACGGTGTCTTTTTGACTCGTTTGCACAGATTTGTGCAACAGCAACACAATCCTCTTGTTAATCAGGCTCTTTATGTGTTAAGATGTAAACATTTGAGGTGTTTGTAGGACGATTTTCTCACCCTTGACAGAGCTAGGTTTGATGCTAAGCTAACATGATGCCTGAAACATGAGAGGTGTAATCATTCTCGTCTAACACTTATCAAAAGAGCAGAAATATTTCCCAAACATGCTAACCCTTTAAATCATGCCAGATACAAAGAGACAAAGTATTTAGTGAGGAATATGACAAAAAAAGGGGAGGTCTAAGAGACACAAAACTAAACCAAACATGATCTCAGATCTGTCAGCAGTTTTTTTAAGTTGTCCGAAATGAACATCTCAGTCCACTGAAAAATAAAGACAACTTGTTGCCCAGTATGAATTTTATTAGATTGACTGGATGCAGAGTTTAAGTACTGGACTTCTTCCTGTGGATGTTTTTCAAAGAGAGGAGTAACAAATGATGCTAATATTAGCTACTGTCTATCAAGCATTCTGTATCTACCTCCTTCATTATTTTACAGACCTGTGTTTTCCTCCTGTACAGAATCTTTATGTTTGTCATGTAAAAGGTCTATTGTTTAGACGAACAAACTGGACTATGTGTCCAAAGTTTATATATATAATATCAAATGTTTTTCTAAATTGCAAGCACAAAAAATAAGAATTGTCATAGAATCATGAATGTTAAGCCTCTTTGTGAAACAGTACTTTACATGCAAATTGAAAAACAACAACTCTATTTCCTCAAACAGTGAGAGGTGAAAATTGTTTATGCAAAACAAGTGTTTCTGTCATAACCAGTTCAATACTAGTTTAAAGGTCACATATTCTCCTCCTCTTCAACCAGTGTAAATAAGTCTCAGAGCTCCCAAAACATGTCTGTGAAGTGTCTTGTTCTAAATCCACTCTGATCCTGTATTTGATCATGTCTATAAACTCCTCTATTTCAGCCCTGCTCAAAACAGGCTGTTTCTGTGTCTGGACCTTTAAATATGTAAATGAGCTGTGTCCGACCATGCGCAAGGGCTTGGGTCGGCTCTGGCTTTCTCGCTCCATGTCCTATTGTTTACAGTGAGAAGGCAGACTCAGAGGGCAGAACAAACACCTAGCTGTGGGAGTGTCACCCACCTGGGGGAGGGGTTACTGCCCTTTGTGATGTCATGAAGGGAAAATCGCCAAACGGCCTGTTTGAGCACACATTTTCTTAAAAGTGGAGCAGGCAGAAGACGGAGAGGATGGACTTTTCTCATAATTGGGGGGGTTTGTAGACAGACTAGAGACACATAGTGTTAGAAGTGTACTTTGCATATGTGACCTTTAACAAAGGGGTAAAACTTATGCATGCTAACTGTTTGTCTTGTGCAGATGAAGGTGAGTAAAACTATGATTACCATATTATCACTTTTATACTTTTTGATAGATAGATAGATAGATATATAGATAGATAGATAGATAGATGATAGATAGATAGATGGATGTAAATGAGCCTACTACTACCTTTTCTACAGCTCGTTACCTGCGGGCTCGGGAGGCTCTCCCTCGCCTTAGTTGTGGGGAGAGTGACGGTACTGAGGCAGCAGGCTGCTGACAATCTACAAGAAACTGATAAATTAGACAGATATACAGAGTGGTGACACTCAGGGTTAGACAAAAAGACAGAAAACAAGGAGGACAAACAGGAGAGGTCTCGTCAGGGACAAAGACACTAATACTGGTTTACGATAGCTTTAAGCTCCAGTCTTACACTTGCCTTTTGGTCAGCTGGTACAACACCTTAAATGTTTGGAGTGTGTAAACTCAGTCCTGAATTAGAAATCACATGTACGTTCAACTTTTACAAATTAACTTAAGCAGAGCTTGTGCAACCCAGTGCAGGAGGGGAAATATGAACACAGAAGATTCAGGAGGAAAAATACTCGAGTACAATGTTAAAGGAGTAATATGTAACTCTGACACCTAGTGTTTAAAATGGGTACTGCAGTCCAAAATCAGAACATTGCAGAGAGCTGTCTCCCCCCGGCCCCTCCTCTCTAGAGTCGATCGCAGGTTGCCATGTGGTGGACACTGAAGCTTCAGTGTTTATCCGGGTCTGTAAACCTTTCTGTGTTCTAACCTCTCTCCATTTTTCAAAAGCATCTCCAATATTGATCCTAGTTTGAGCACGTTTCTGCTCGTGGAGCTTATTAGAAACATGCAGAGGCTTTTTAGGTCGGGTACAATCACTTCTATCTGAACCACTTCTCTTGACCGCTTCCATCGCTGCAACACCTGTTGCTTTGACCTGATAACTGCTCTCATATACGGAGGGGCATCCAAAACGGCTGTGTGGGGGTTCAGGAGCATTCAGGACCAGAATCTAAAGTTAGAAGGAGGACATACTGGCTGCTGCATTGTTGTCAGAGAAGCCAGCACTTCAACAGAGCATGTTTCCTTAATGTCAGATCATATAGTAAGGTCATTTTATTTATTTAATTCACTACATATCTTACATATTGAACCTTTAAGAACTGATTCCACTCCTTGCTGATTACAGTAGATGCTTGCAAAGAGTGAATTTAACTAATTTTGTAAACCAGCCTCCTCTGACAGGACCAGACTCTGCACAGCTAGACAATCAACACTGGAGGTGGAAAACACAAGGAGACAGAAACATGGACACAATTTACACACAAACACACACACACAGACATCTTCAAATCCAATGCTGTATTGATTTGTTCTGCACAGAGAAAAACAGACAAAGAGGAGCTGAGACTGAACAATCAAATCCTGGATTGTCATACATGTCATACATGTTTGTGCACAAGATGCCGTCTTCAGATTTACTTTAAGCTGTTTCACTTGTGATTTAGTTATCTGAGGTAGGATAAGAGAGAAGGGGGGGGGGGCGAGGGGGATCAAACTGCATTTGTCAGGAGAGGAGAATAGAAATGTTGTCCGATCCTGCCCTCTAGTGGGGAAATGGGAACAATGTGAGAATTGGACCTTGATTTTTCATGTGGGGTAAGAAGAGAAGAAAAAAAAAAGACAATCAAGAAGGAGGTCAAGGCACAGAGAGGAGGTCGAACTGGTTTCAAGACTACTCTGACACATTAAAGATGTAACACGTTAAAGACTTACTGACATTACTTCAGGTGGCAGAAGAAGGCATGCATAGATGAACTAGAGGAAATATCATTTAACAATAATAGGAAGTTAATAGTCTATTAAAATTTGAACAGTATAGTAGCCGATATAACGAATAGATTCGTTGCAGTTTAGTCAATTTTAAGAGCTAACATGTAATGTTCATGAGCTTTCTTGTATTTGAGCTTTCTTGTCTGTGCTGCTATAACGCCCGAATTTCTCCTCTGGGGATCAACAAAGTACTATCCTATCCCATCCTATCCTATCCTATCCTAATGCATACAGACTGCCACAGGGAGGTGCTGTTAACATTCTGTAGAAGAAGCTGCAGCCATATTTGTTTGTGTTTTTCATTTTGAAACACTTCCCAGCACTCTGAGAGACATGATGTCATATTTTACTGTAACAGCTTCTGAGAAGCCTCGTCTCAAATGAATGAGGGAAATTATTTAAAAATGTAAAGCAGTCCAACTGGGACTAAAACATGACAATAACAAAAGGCTGAGCAGTGCTTATTTTAAAGATGGACGGAGCGAGACGCCTTGAGCTCCACCTTCCTCATGTGGGGTGTACTGAGAGCAGGATTTCTCGGCTATTGAGGTGACTTCAGGGTTAACTCTGAGTTTTCAGTGTTATGAAGGTGATTCTCTTTCTCCCTGCTCCAGAGCCGGTTATGTTCAGGAGGAGAGATCGTCCACTCTGATGACTAATCAGATCAGAAAGGGAAGAAGGGAGGGAGACCGGAAAACAGTTCAACTTTCACCTTATAATTCTGCATAATAAATATATTTATGAAAGTTATTGAGGGACCTTTATGGATATCATACTTCTACAAAGATTGAAAAAGGACTGGAGCATCGTAGTTGTGATCATAAGATTTAAAATCAGCGTACTTATCGATTTGAAATATATTTTTATTTACATTTATAGAGGCTGCAGCTGAAATATTACGTCTAAAACTGTCGTAACAATTGTATGTAAGGGAAGAACCAGGAGTTATTATGTTGAGATCTTAGGTGCACTAATGATGGGAAGAAGATTTTATAAGCCTCAATTTTGGCTTTTAAACTCTGTGATTTATATTTCTTTTCACAGTTCTTCCTGCACTTTTCTCTGCAGCTGTTCATTTTTAGCAATCTATGTTTCAAACTTCTTCAGATGTTGTGATGTTACAGTTTGCACAGAGTTTGTGAAATCTGTCACTCTGCTGACGGCACACTGGCTCTTGATCGTGAGAGGTCATATGAAGGGAACTCCGCCCCTTTTTATGTGAGCATGCTCAAAGAAAGTCTGGGTTGATTTATCAGGTCGGTAACCAGCTTCATGTGACTGTAAGTTCGATCTCTTGTGTCAGGGTTAGTGAAGCCTGATAACTGAAAGATACCCTGAGTATGTTGAACAATTTTTACTGCATATTCAAACATTAAACATGTGAAACCAGTCGCCTCCTCTCTGTATCCACTTTGTCCTGAGACTTTTAGGAATTGTGCACAAAGTCAATATTTATGATGAGGGACAGGTGATGAAGATTAGCGCTTTCGTCGCCGGTGAGGAGACACTGAGGCAGAGCTACTTGTGCTGTTAGATGGGGGGAGGTGACCTACGTCTTGTCTGAGTCGTCTGAACTTTACGGTTAGACTCTCGGGGTCTATCATGAAGGGCGGGGTGTCGAGGGACAAATTAGGGTAACTCATGTTAAATTGTGTCGAAGCAGAGTTCTGGATTGTTTCAGGAAGCGTGTCCAGAGTCCACAAAGACATGGACGGAGGACTACGGAAGGTCAGGGATTGGTTCAAGGTGTGGGCGGTGTTAATGGGGGGGCTGTGGAACCTGGTGGGGCTGGGCGGGGCTGTGAAGGCCCCTCTGTGACTTACTTTGGGCGGGCTGCTTTTTATCTTGGGCACTTTAGCGCCGCGGCCTCGGTAGGTCTGCTCGTGGTCAAACTCTAGATCCTCCAGCCGCTGGGTCAGGGCCAGTTTCTGCTGGATGGCCATCCGGAGGAGGGAGTTCAACGTCTTTTTCTCATCCTCTGCCGCCGCCAGCTGCCTCTGCATCTCATCCAGCTGTGTAACATACTCGTCACATCTGCAACGAGAGAGAGAGAGAGAAGGACAGAGGGGAAGACAGATTTAGTTACAAATGCATTTATTTAATAAATATGCACCTAGTGGTCTAAAGATTCATCCCTCACCTTGTGGCAAACATGGCCCTGAGAGACGAGAAGGTGGCGGCGTCTTCTTTCAGAGCCTTCAGCTCGTTCCTCAGCTTCATCATGGTCTCAGTCACCATTGCCTTTTCATTCTCATACTTACTTTTCAAGTTTGCCAGGGCAACCTCTGCTGTCTGCAAAGTTGATAATGACATTTCATTGAAACATACACGCCCAATTCAAAAAAAAGATTGGCTTCCATATCTGACACACAAAAAGACAAAGTAAGCACAAATAAGAACCATTCGTCAGACCTGTTTGTTGGCCTTCAGCACCAGCCTGAGTGTGGCTATCTGCTCCCTCTTGGTGCTGAGTAAGACTTCAGTTTGAGGATCTCCTCCATGCACAACTCTTTGTCCTTGTCAAGCATCGGAGCCAGCTCCCTGGCTGCGGCCCTCTGCCTGGACAGCTGCAGCGAGCGGTCTACAGCCCTCTGCAGGTGTTTGATCTGGTCCCTGATGATGGCGTTCAGGTTGTAGATGTTCATTGGCTCCTTCCGCAGGTCCCCGCCGCCCTCTGAGGGCACTGGAGACGGGCAGGGAGAGATGCTGATGGATGGGGAGCCTGGGGGGTTACGTGTGGGGCTGCTATGGCACGATGAAGAGTCTGCCATGTGTGTCGATGTCTCGCTGTGATGCGCGTCTTTGGATGGGGAGTCCATGGGACTGCGCGGTGAGTCGGAGGAGCAGGCTGCGGACGCTGCTGCGAGACGACGCGCCAGGCGAGGTGAGAGCAGAGCCCGCGGGTCGTCTGAGCCCTTCAGGCTGCCGTTGCGTGTGACGCGACTCTGTCGGTAGTAGTCCAGCATGACGCGGTTCGGTGTCTCGTTGTTGCACAGACAGACGTGGTGATAAAGCTGAGCCAGCTCCTCACTGAAGGTGACCAGCTCATCCTGTGCTGCGTTCAGCATGCCCTGACTCTCTGTGGACGTGCTCGTGGCTGCTCGCAGCTCTGCCTCCAGGCTCGCCACCCTCTCCCTGCTCTCCCGATAACTGCGCTCCAAATGAGTTACCTGCTTGGAAGACACAAGTTAAAGATTTGCAACATCAAAGAGTTATGTCATTGTGATGAAGATGCTGCAGTAAAAACAAGCTGCATGTGAGGATGACTAACCTGCTCAGTGAGAGCGTGGGCCCTGTCGTCACTGTGGCCGTCTCCCTGACCCTCCACAGCCTGGTTGTACTTCTCCTTCAGGACTTTGAGCTCTGCCTTCAGGTCGATCACCTCCGTCACCGCCACCTTGTACTTACACTCCAGGATCTCGAACCCGTGGATATCAGGATCATGGTGACCGTTGGTTGGTGGCGATATGGAGCCGCCGTCAGGCTTCTCACTCTCCCGCGGGTCATCAAGCTCTTTGTCTCCGTTCAGACACTTCATGGTGTTGACGCGCTCTGTGAGGCGATGGACTCGCTCGCTCTGCTCGGTCAGGGCGCCCTGCGTGTGCTGCAGCTGCGTCTGGGACTCCTGCAGGTTCATGAGCAGCGCCGCCTTCTCACACTCCACCTGCAGAACGATACCAAATACGATGATGCATATAGTTCAAAGGGTTCAGTGTAAAGCATTTCAAAACAATAAAATATGATTAAAAAGGAGCAGTATTTAGATGTAGCTGAAAAAAGCTGCACAACAACAGACTCAGTTTAAGACCTGCCCCGCTGAAAAGGTTCTGTTCACATGCTTCATGATCTGACATCTCATAGGGGATCAGTACTCGTCCAGCACAAAAAGCTAAACGTGAGATCCTTTTGAAAAAAAAGAAGACAAAATGGATTTAAGAGTTTATTGATGGATGATTGGATGCCACTAGCATTCACATCAGTCCCAGAGTAACCAAGCTCAAAGAGAAAATGGATTAGTGAGTAATTGTTTGCACAGAGAAAGGCACACGGCTAATTTAGCTCCCGCTAATCGAATTCTTATTCCCCGAGGAGCACAGCTACGGGGGAAAAAATCACAGTAATGACTTAACTCGATTTAGCATGAATGTCATCTGCCTTTGATTTTTATGTTGTTAAACACACTGCACTGCAAAGAGTCGATCTGAGCAAGAGTATTTCTAATTTCTAGTCAAAAATATCTCATTATGGGGCGCTGGTGGCGAAGTGGTTAGAATGCGTGCTTCATGTATGGAGGCTGTGGTCCTCCAAGCGGGCGGCACGGGTTCAAATCTGACCCGGGGCTCCTTTCCCACATGTCATTCCCTACTCTCTCTCTCCCTGGTTTCAGACTTTATCCACTGTCCTATCTCTCTAATAAAGGCACAAAATGCCCAAAAATAAATCTTTAAACAAAAAAAATATATATATATCTCATTACATTTATGATAAGCTACATTCACATGACAATTCTTAATTCAAGATTTAACAACAAACAAATCATGCCTGAATCGAGTGTCATAAGTACATTTATCTGCCAAAGGGGCATAAGCTGTAGACGTCAGTTTAATGCATGTTCTCCTCGTGCATGTGTGGGTTACTCCGGCTTGTCAGTCCAAAGACATTCGCGTTAGGTTAACTGGTGACTCTAACCTGTAGGTGTGAATGTGAGTGTGGCTGGTTGTCTATATATGTCAGCCCTATGATTGGCTGGCGGACAGTCCAGTGTGTAAATCCCGCCTCTCACCCAATGACAGGAAAAAACGGAATAGATAATGAATGGATTGACCTCATTTAATACACTTATGAAATACAATTAGTTTACTTTTTACAAGCAATTCAGGCCTTTGTGTCGTGTAGATCTTGAAATTGGACGTTTATCTGAATTTTTCTGGTAACTATATCTTATAATAAATGTAATTAGATATGTTTAATGATAAATCCTCTGAGATTTGAGTTCATGCATTATATCCACTGTTTGTTTAGGAGTGAAACATTTTCTCCATTATGTAATATAAGCTTGATATTTTTGAATGGATGTAGCCCCGCACAGTTCTGGTAAATCCTGTGAGATCAGTTTGGCCTGTTTATGTGTATTTGTTCCTGTTTATGTCTTTGTCTGCGTCTTGTTTCTTCTTCTGCTCTCCGTGCCTATTAGACACTAATCACCCTGACAGTGCTCCCTATGCAACACGCACATGTACGACCTACTACAGGACTTTTTGTTCTTTCTCAAAACATCCCTCACTCTCACCCTCGCTCCAGCACACCTTCTACAGAACACCAACATATTGTTCACTTTGGAGTGGACAGTGGCTCAAATGCATGCTGCATGTAAATAAAAGAGAAATGTTTGATCTGTCACTGTAACCATTCATTTTAGTGGCTTTATTTTCTGTTTCTCTGTTTTAGTGTTTAGTGTAGTAAACTAATAAGAGGTCATTCATTAAAGCAGAGCTGCAGCAGGTCTTCTCTCCACCACACAGGTCTGACAGCTAAGGGTCAACCTTGGCAAGAAACTCAAGTTTCCTTCAAACATTGCAGCAACATCAGTGTGACCAGACCTAAAAACAGCTCGCCCTGAGAGATTGAGCCTGTGAAGATTGCTTTGATTTTGAAACAAAGCTTGCCCAGTACCAGGGACTTCTGGAGGACTGGGTGGTGGGCACACTGCTGCAGAGGCTTTGTTGTGCTGAGTCTACACTCAGCTGTGTCTCAGCTGTCTACACTCTGCTGGGTATGAGAAGTCTTCTTAGAAGAACAGACATCAGGACGGTAACAGAGGCAGCAGGGAAAGCCTCCAGGTGGCTGTGGATAAAGACAGCTGATCCGCGGCCAAATGCTGCTGGGACACATGCAGGGCTTGATCAACCAAGGCTGTGTGGCCTGGGCGAGAGATGAGTCCAGGACATCCGACGGATTTATCTTTCATCTGTCAGCAAAGCCTGCAGCATGTTTGTCTTTTTTTTCCACTGGTTACCAAACCGTCGTCACCTCGTCATTTCCTTGCAAACACCACTGACAAATATTGAGTGTCGCCCACACAGAACACACTCTGAAGAACTCAAATCTTCTGGTCTGAATTATCTCATTACAGGTAATCCAGATAAACATCTTATTTTAAGATATTACAAGCACAAATAAATCCTGACGTGCTTATAATGAGTGAAACTGGTTTCTAACGCAGCAAGATAAATGTCTCTTGAATTAAGATCATTGTGTTTGCTGCATTAGCAGATATTTCTACTTTTTAAAAACAACTGAAGTGTCTTTCTTTTTCATTTTGAATATTGAATTTAGATGTTTATCTTCTGTCAGGGGACAGTGGCTTAATATTAGTTTAAAGTGATATTTTTGACTAGAGACGAGAAATAAATTTGTCAAAAATCAGAGTTTTATCAGTGCCAGAAATGTACTGTGGGCCCGTCTCAGTTTAAGGCACAGTCCCTTTTACTCGCCTGGTGTTGCAGCACGTTATGACAAATAAAGGCAGCTCTCAATTCATAATAAATACTGTGGATATTTAGTGTTGTAGTACTCGAAATCGGTCTTAAGGTCTTGGTCCCGTCTCGGAATCGGAAGCATTTTTAGTCAGTCTTGTCTCGGTCTCAGACTGGGTGGACTCCAGATTTTAAGATTTTAAGACAAAGACCAGTCAAGACCACGTGATAGGCGATTTCCCACATCATTCCTGTGATTAGAAAGAAAACACCTCTTTCTAAAAGAACAAAATCTTAAATTCTTAAATTCATTCATCATTTGATTAAAACTAGAGATTCATAGTTGACTTTGTCTGATGGATATCGTACATTTTAAACAGTTAAAAAACATTTTGGTGCACATTTTAAAGTCTTCCCCATCTTTGCTGTGAACAAGTTTTATTTTAAAATATTTAGTCACCTCTCTCGTATTGTATATCACAGACTGTGATAAATCAAAGATGTAATCATCTGACATGCTGTGTGCGTCTGCTTTTATCTTCCTGCAGTGGCTTCTCTCTGGCTTTGCATTGGAAGCAGTTTTAGAACGACTGAAACCTTCCAGATGGTCACTTTCTGATTTAATGTGGCGTTCAAGTTGCATCGCCGCTGACCTTTACAAGGAACTTTCAATGAAACAGGACAGACCCGAACATAAAGAGCTCTCTAGCAGCTGCAACCCGACTCTGATTACTGACCCGGGTTATAACGGGTCATTTGAGTGACAGTTGTTGTTACTGATGATGATGACCCACCTGTAGCAGCTGCTGTTTGAGCTTCTGCATCTCCGACAGGTTGAGCTCACTGAACAGGTCGGGCACAGGAAGCAGGCCGTCTCCTTTCCTGCCTGATCTAAACTCCCCGTTCATCTTAGCCAATCCGGTGCCAGCGTGGAGGTGGCCGTTGCGGCGGTTGCTGTCCTCATTGTTGCTGTTAGCAGCAGGGATTGCGCTGCCGTTGGTGCCGTTGGTCCCGTTCGTCTCCTCCGGGAACTTGAGACCTTCGACCCCGGTGACAGTGAGCGCCAGATGGGCCCCCGCCCCGTAGACGCTGTCACTCAGGCTGATGTGGTGGGCCAGCTCCTTCCTCAGATTGTTCTTCTGCTCACGTTCGCTCTTCAGGGCGTCCAGAGCCTCCTCCAGCTGACCCTCAGAAATGTCCTTCAGGCGTAGCGCGTCCTCCAGCTGGCTGTTGAGAAGAACGGTCTCCTCCTCTAAAACCTTTATCTCGTGTTTCAGTCCCTCGTACTCCACCTGAGGAGAGGCAGAAAGAAAAGGTGACGACAGGAGAATAAGTCAAGGAGGGGACGACCCCATCTCTGGTCAGGATAGAGGGACTTCAGGAAGAGTAGCAGCATACAGGTTAAGGTTTGTATAGAGCAGCCTTTCCCAAACTTAAAATTGCCGCAGCCCACTTTGATATACAAAATAACTCTGGGGCCCGTTATAAAAAAAAAAGTTTTGACTACAGCTATCACTTTCAGTTAGGGTAAATTATTGGACATGACAAAATGATGGCACCAATGTTTACTGAACATTATGTCCATGAATAGTCATTACAGGCCTTACTAATCACTTGAAGATTTGACTCATGGTAAATCATCGTTATTGTGATATTTCTTTTATTTTTATACTTGGTGGAGGGCTTTTCGCGGCCCACCTGCAGTACCCACGCGGCCCACCAGGGGGCTGCGGCCCACACTTGTGGGAAAGCACTGGTTTAGAGAAATACAAAAAGCCAGGTGATGTCAGCTAAAGAAACCTTATGCTACTTTGCCCCCAGTACAGTTTACATTTAAAATACAACAGCATGGTGTTTTACTTCTGACTGGCACCTTCATACTATATTTAATCTAAAGATAAGATGAGATGTTGTGGTCAAAACATTCATTGGTAATTTGAATTTGATTCATGGCAGTTGAAGACATTCACCAAGTCTTTATAAACCTTTCCCCGTTTCCAACAAGCGGCCCGGTTCAGTTCAGTACGGTTTGGTACGGTATGCATGTATCGCTGTTTCCACTCTAAAAAGTCGGGAATGGTACCAAAATAACCAATCTGTACCGTCCTACTTTTGTGCTACCCTTCTGTTGGGTTTTGCCAAGCGTAACGATCTGACCCTAAAGGGGCGGAGCTAGACACACTGTAGCCTGTTGATTGGTCAAAAGAATTGTCACTTCCTGCTCGACAGCGGAATAAAGGACAAACACAAAACGTGCCATGTTTAAATATCCCGTCGATTTGGAGAGAGAATTTTCAAGGCTGTTTTTGTTTGTGACTAATATCAGCGCGTAGCACCGCCCCATGGACGTCCTCGGAGGTGCTGACCTCTGCTGGACAGCCTCCATTGTTGCCCCTTTTTTATTATTGTGTTCTTCTTCTTTGTTTAACTTAACAAAGTTGGCGGGCTACACAATGTCGGGCTGCTGTAATGGCACGTTGTTATGTAGCTGACGGTGATATTGCCATTGGGCTTAACAAACCGGACCGCTTGGAGGAAACGGGGCTTTACTGTGCACTGCAAAAACTCAGATCCAAAAGTGTATTTGTTTCATTTTTAGTCCAGATTAACAACTTGTTTAAAGATATAAAAGACAAAACATGAGGCCAATGATTATCTCATTTCAAGACACTCATCAAGGTTAATATGCTTGCTGCACATTTTTCTACATTAAGAGCCATGCAAACATAATTTACCATTTCATATCTTGAAATTTAAGATGTTGATCTGGACCTTTCAGGTGAATGTATCTTACTGTTTAATACGTGTAATTAGAAATGAGATTTAAACGCTTGCTTAGATTTGAGGATTTGCAGTGTGACTTACGCTACAGTAGGAGCAGCAAGATCCAAGTCCTACATCACTGGAGTGATTTCATGTTGATAAATGACCTTAATCTACTTCGGCTCAGCACAGGGCTTAGAAAATTTGACTAAAGCCAATCCAGACACTGTATGAGCTTGTGTGATTACACAGCTGCAGCTCCTCGGGGGAGAATAAAGGACGATGAGCAACGCCATGAGATGAGAACACCGCTTCATCCCGCCAATCCTGGAAATGAGACTGAAAATCCTAAAGAGGAGGACCACGCTGACATGATGTAATTGAGTGTGAGTCGTTCATAAAGTGAGAATGGTAAAGCAATGAGTAATCAGTGACAAAGTTGAGATGTATTAAACATCTCGTTACTCTGGATCGGAGAGGAAAGATACGAAGCAGAGAGAGAGAGAGAGAGAGAGAGAGAGAGAGAGTAGGAGAGGGGGGACGTGCACAACGAGGAGCGAGGATTAAATTCAGTTCACAATGTAAATCCCTGCCTCACAATTTTAAACTCTCCTGTCAGTTTGAGATTGGATGAACAATTGAAGTCTAATACGTGATATAACTCACACAGAGAACCAAACTATTTTTTACCCTCATCTCTGACAGCATGAGAAGGTTTATGAAACAGTTTTATTATCGAGGATGCAGTGAGTCAGCACCCTCTCTGACGGATCATATTTCAGGTCACCTGCCGTGCACAGAGACAAACGTGAGCATGTGCTGGACCAGATAAACCGTCGATCAGAAGAACGCAGCAGCAACACGAGTCGTAAATCTCAGAAGAGCAGGCAGCAGCACTGAGAGGAAAAACTGAGACCTCAGCAGAATCATCTGTGCTCACACATCTCCAAACAGAAAGTTTTACTCCCAGCGATAGAGATAGATGAATAAAGTGTCAGCATATAAGTTGAGTGAGTCACCACATGTGACTGTACATTATGCATAACATTAATGCTTTTATTATCTCTGTACGTTGAACTGTCTGTCTGCTGTTCATATAGTAAACTTCTGCACATTTCTTTGGCAACACCCTGCACATTACTGGACGCACTTCACAGCTCTCTCTTCAGTGACGGCCCTCCCTCCAGCAGGGCGTGCTGTTGTGTTTAGCCGTCTCTGTGTGTGTGTTTTGTGTCCCTGCAGGGTGCTGGTGGGCGGTGTCTGGCAGCCAGTCTCTCAGGTGTGGGCTATTTAAGATCAGGCAGTCATCCTCTCTCATGCACTCCCAGCATCACACCGTCACCACAGCTCCTCAGTTAGTTTTACACCACACAACATGCCACACACACCACACATCACACACTCACACAACAGCCGTCACACTGATTCACTTACAAACTTTTACACCTTTTAGAGCCGCATGTTTAGAGCCTGACAAAGGTGGTGACACTTCCAAAGTCATTTATGGAGAGGGCCGTGTCCAGAGGGTGTCCAGGGCTGGCATTGACACCCTTTGAAATCTGATGTGTAACCAAAAAATCCAAATCTATGATTGGCAACTGTCTTATCTGCAATGGACTAACTTGCCAATAAATTTATTTTTGCAAGTTTGACAGTGTACGAGAGTTTGGGTGCAATTTTCTAAGAACTTAAAGTTGTGACTTTGCACATCTTTGTTTTTGAGTCCCTGAAGAATCAGTTTGGGCATCTGTTGAGGATGCCTCCTGGACGCCTCCCTTTAGAAGTTTTCCAGGCATGCCCAACTGGGAGGAGACCCCGGGGTAGACCCAGAATACGATGGAGGGAATATAAATCCTGTCTGGCCAGGGAACGCCTCGAAATCCCCCAGGAGGAGCAGGAAAGTGTTGCTGGGGAGAGGGAAGTCTGGGTTGACTTACTGCCACCGCGACACGATCTCGGATAAGCAACAACAATGTAATGGATGGTTTGATGAAGAATCAAGCTAAGTAGATATATATATATATATATCGCAAAATTGTGTTACTTCTAAGTATAGATCATTAGCGGGGGTAAAAAGGGTAAAACAAATTAAATTCATTTTGTGCAGGATTAGTCATCAGGTATTTGAAAAGTTTTACAGGAAGAAAAAATACAATTATTTAGATGTAAACATACTCAAATAATGCTTTATTAAATTATATTTGGCAGTTAAATTAACATTTAACAGGAATGCTGGATTAAAACCGGGAAAGTGTGTTTTTATTTCAGGGGGACTTTAAAAAAAGTGCAGGAGAGGAGAGACATGAATCCGCAGAGAAACTCCTGCACGCTGTCTAAACTGCACAAACACGTTACAGACAACGTTAAAATGTTGCCAATGTGTGCAGGAATTTTTGGTAATGAAAAACAAGACATTTTCCTTCATAGTTGGTGCCTAGGACTTCTATTCTTGTTGCTGTGGTATTGTGTATTAGTGTACTAGTATGTAAAAGTTTAAAATTCTGGTATCGTGGGGCGCAGATGGCCTCGCTGTTAGGTGGCGCCCCATGCACTAAGGCTATAGTCCTTCGATTTCGACATGTGACTCCCTGCATGTCATTCCCCACTCTCTCTCTCTCTCCCGATTTCTTACTCTACTGTCCTGCCAAAAAAAAATGCACAAAGCCCAAAATCATTTTTGGGTGTGCACGTGTATTCTTTGGGCACTGCAGTGCTGCCTGCAGCTCCCCTGCAGCTCTCTGTGCATATGGCAGAAGTGCTGACCCAGAGGCAGCGTCAGGAGTGTGTGGGCGGGTACACACACAGGAGGAAGAAACTCACAGACTCATTCGGCCCCCTTTGGTGATTAAACCTCCAGAATCTCAGTGTACATAAATGTGTGTGTTATGTATGTATATGGTTGGATACAGCGGTGCTTTGTGAACTGGCTGCTGGACTAAAAGTACAGTCTATTATTAAGCACTGACCACTTTGATGGTTACAGTGTCTGACAGTAGCTTCGATACTCATGGAGGTAATGAAGCCTTTACTGTGGAGTGCACAGAAGTACAGCAGAGCTGCAGCAGCAAAGACGTCACTTTCTCACTAATCCAGTAAAATCGACCAGAAGCCAAATTACATTTTAAGAGCAAACCTAATTAGCATGTGTCAGATTATACAACAACACATTGTTGGATGCTCCATTGTTGTAAATAATGACCTTCCCTTGCAACATGTTGTCTAATTATATATTTGCGTCAATGCGGGGGGAATTACACTGAGCCGGGTATGAAGTGCAAAGGATTAGAAGCCAATTATCATTCAGCGAGGCTCCATAGCAGCCGAGCAGGTCATGGGCGTCAGTGGTCGGGGTCAGGGACAGTGTGGCTCATGAAGCTGGCAGCGAGCCCGCCACGGGGCAGACCTCAGTCCACGAGCCAGAGTTCATGGCACAGACCGGGACTGTGACAGCTTTATTGGATTCATGACACAAAGAAAATATGGCACAAGCCCAGAGAGCTTGTGTTCATTCATCATTGCCACCACTGTTGCTGTGGTAACAAGGAATACAAACACAGGATGGAAAACATTATACAGTTTTTAAATTAGTAAAGTATGCATGCATACACCATGACTTTTCTTTTTTTGGACACTTCCTTCAGTATGTTTGTATAAAAAGGAGCTTCACTGTGATTTTCTCTGATTTTTTTATGACCTCAAGTTCTGATTTACAACTCAAAACATCCTAAACTAACTTTGTGTTGCACTAATAAACATTTCCCTTCTGGTTCCCCCTTAATAAATGTTAATGATGTTTGTGGAAGTTTGCTTGAAACTTGCACAAACCTTTTGATTTGACACGATTTGTGATAAATGAAGCCCCCTGTGTGGATTCAACACCTGCTTCTGACGATGAAAGACGACTCCACCTCATTAACGAGGATCACACATTCAAATGAGGGCTTCAAGAAAGCTGAAAGTAATTTAATGTATAAATCATTGAATAGCGGAGATCAGGATGCACATCGAATGCATGACTTTAAATCTTAGGATTCTAAAATGAAAACACAGATTTAATTCGATGTGATGTGACTTTACTCTGCGTTCCCTCTCTGATGAATGGAGAAATTGGCAGTGTGTGTGTGTGTGTGTGTGTGTGTTTAGCGCTGTGTCTCCCTCTGTTCCTACACATGTGCCGAGCTCAGGGCATTTCACTTAGTCCCCAGCTTAGCACCGGATTTGCCCCCCACAATGGGGTCGTGGCCGTGGTGTCTGACCCCCGCTCGAACTCCTGCGCTGACCGACACACTGGCTGCCGACACGTATGAATGCATGAAAAACCGCTCCGCATGTTAGCTCATGCAAATGCTTTTCTCTGGCAGATTTGACCTCTTTCTGTTCGTCACCGTGACCCTTTTTATTTTATCATGCACACTGAGCTCGTGTAGGTTAATGCAGACAGGATACAAGGCCAGCCAGGACGTGGAAAAGTCTGCGTGCAATTAAATAATTACTATATTAAAAGTCTTTAGAAAATTAGGAAATCCCGACCTAAAGTTTAAAAGTTTGCAGCAGATTTTCTTTAATTTATTGGAAGACACAAAATGTTTTCAGTGACCAAACTTTTCAAAGTCACTCAAAGAAAACTCTTTCGCTACGACGAGTATTGGGCATCAATTTAGCTCATTTCTTTTAGCTTATTTATTCAATTCAATTTATATTTAGTGGTTGGGTTGAGCGCCCAATGTGCAGAGACTACAGTCCTCATGGCTTTACCGGTTCAAGTCCGAGCCTCAACATTTGCTACATGTCTCCCCAACAACTCTGCTTCTAAAATTTCACACTATGGTTGATACTTTGTGTTTTGTAACAATACAATCTCTGTCCCTTTAATAATCGATAGCATTTAAAAGCACCAAAGCTTAAAGTAAGAATGTTCGACCTTAAGCACCAGCATGAAACCAAAACAAACTGCTGTTTGGCCACACCTCCTCCATACTGAAGCCCCCGCTCTCCTCCAGAGACTCACCTCCAGAGACTCACCTCCAGAGACTCACTTCCAACCCCTCTCCACTCGAGTGCAAAAGATGGAGACCATAATTAAGCACCATTAAGCGCAAGCAGCGGGCAAACTTCTTTTGCCCAAACTGAAATTGCCTGTGGCCTGTAAGGTTGTTTTTTTGTGTTAGCATGCTAATGTTAGCGCTCTTTGGTGAGCTCATAGCTTCATATTGCACATAAAGTGACACCGAATGACCGTGATCTAAAAACACTAATGTGACAAATAAGCAGTGAGTATGTTCTTCCTCTTTTATCTAGTAATTGACTAATGTATTATCTCTGTACTGATTTATTTGCAAGGCCGTCCCTTCTATGTAAGAATGATGTAAACACGGCTCTGACAACAACACAGCCAGCGGGACTCAAGCTTCTCACTCATTGTAGACACTCAGGACTCAGAAAGATTTCTGCTATATTAATGTGTAAAATGTTGCACCTTCTTCCTTTAAAAAAAGAAGCTACAGCTATGTCAATTTCTTAATCCAAAAGAGAGAGAGCACGGTTTAAATAGCACAAATACATTGAAAACGTTTTGTTACTGAAAAGACGCCATTGTATTTCTGCAGTTTAGACAGTGAACAACAGTGCTCCTGCAATTTTTGGTGATTCAAAACAAGAAGTTAACAAGTATTGGGTGTGTAAGACTTCACTTTTTGTTGCCATGGTAGCAAAAATTGTGTCAATATAATCAATATCAAGTATTGTATCAAAGTTTAAAATGCTGGGTCATGACAACCATACTCTTTACTGTCGAATCAATAAAGCATAAAATTGTTGACTCTTGCTTGCAGAAGAAGTGATGTATAACTGTTTTAGTGCTCACCTCTTTCAGCTCCTGTACGAGTGCGTTAAGCCTCTCGTTCTCAGACTGGGCGTTGGACGCCACAGAGCGACTCAGCGTCACCTCCGTCTGCAGCTCCAGCAGACGGTCCATGTAGTACGCCTCCTTACAGGCCGACTCCTGCAGCAACGTCTCCTCATTGGTCTCCCCGTCCTCTGCCACCTTGCGCTGGTTGGTGTAAGCCTGGCCAAACGCCTGAGGAGGAAGAAAAAGGAGAGCTGGTCAGAGGAAAAACAAGAGGACTCAAACAACCAACAACCATCTTTTGCAATGTCAGAACTGAACTGACACATATCCAAATCCTGTCATATAACATCAACTAATCCATGTGAGGGATTTTGTGCCCACTGGCATGTAAAGTACAGCTAGTGCATCTTTCAGAGTCAAGGCCACCAGGCGCTCTCCTGCAGAACTCGTGACCACGGGGCAGCACAGACCGCAAACCTGCTGTAGGGCCCCCGTCCCTTAAGGATACCTGCACTCTGTCTATGTGGGATGATGTTTCACTGTGATCAATAGACACACTGTTCCCATTTTCCTGACACAGGTTTTCACAGCACGGAGAGCTGACTTGTCATGACAAAGGAGCCGAGGCTTGATTGAGAAAATCAAAGCACGCATCAACAGCAAAACAGGCCCACCGCTGTTAACCTCCTGCACCAAACACACATGCTAACAAATGCTCCAGTGCTCACAGTCACAGGGACACTCTGGTCGTCAGCATTTTAGATACTGCTGTTACCTAGGTTTTAAAAGAAACAGTCCGTGTCTAGAGGAAAGAATCCATCAAAAATTGAAAGCAAATTCCTGCACACCGTCTAAAATGAACACAACTTTGGCAGTGTTTCTGTACAGATATTTTGCCAACATATTTGTACAATTAAATAAGACAGTGTGAATGAGTTTGCCTGCAATTCTTTAAAACTGAAACACTAAAAGTGTAACGACCAAAAAAACACTGGAGATTCACAAGCACGACAGTACACCTGAAGGTCAAGAAAAACAGAATTTACATGAGAAAAATAGATAAGCAAGAATAGCAGAAAAATCCCCCAAAATGGGGAAGTAACACAGTAGGAAATAATGCTGGTACGCTTGACTCAAAGGACGAAGAAACTGACTAAATGCTAAAGTGAGTGAGAGACAATGAGACGCAGCTGGAGACAATCACACAGGCGAGAAACACACGAGGACAGGAAGTGAAGGATCTGAAACGATAGGAGACGTAAGTAATGCAAACATAAAACAGGAAAGACTGGAGGAAAATGTTTGTGTGTGTGTGTGTGTGTGTGTGTGTGTGTGTGTGTGCAGCAGCTCCCTGAGTGGTTCAATAAATACCCTGAACCTTACCTACACGTTCCTCACAGTTTCTGCAGAAGAAGTGAGTTTGTTTACTGCACTCGCCTCTTTGAGGGATCAATGCTGCTACCTCTAAAAGTACTTCATGGTTTTACAATGACCACATGAAACTGTGAACACAGCATGTGTAGTTATTAGAGTCCTGCACAGGGTCACTCTCTCCAAATCGATAATGCAGCCTAAATCATAAGGGAGTCATATATTGTTGACAACGAGAGTATCAATAATTCACATCCCGATCCCACCACAACATCATAAGATCCTCGAGATGAATCATTCATAAGCTATAAGCATCTGTTAGACGGAGAAGACAGAAACGGCAGTGTGTATCACTCACTTCTTACCACTGTGGAAGTCATTTTTCAGTTTTCTATTTACTCTTGATTCATGAGCAAGGAGTGAATGAAGCAGCACACATCCTAACATAAGTCAGAGTCACTTTATCACAGCCAGAAATCTACTTTAGAGCAGATCTAGGAATGTATGAGGCAGCAGGACAAAGACAGACAGGGCTATTCTAAGATAAAAGTTGTCATTCAAATGCTGGTATTGTTGTTTTAAGGTCACATATTGTGAAAAATCCACTTCACCATGTTGTTCTAACTCTAATATGTGTCTCTAGTCTGTCTACAAACCCCCCAATCATGAGAAAAGTCCATCCTCTCCGTCTTCTGCCTGCTCCACTTTTCAGAAAATGTGTGCTCAAACAGGCCGTTTGGAGATTTTCCCTTTATGACATCACAAAAGGCAATAACAATAGGACATGGAGCGAGAAAGACAGAGACATCGAAGCCCTTCCAGAGAGGGGGCGTGGTCAGACACCGCTCATTTACATATTTAAAGGTACAGACACAGAAACAGCCTGTTCTGAGCAGGGCTGAAATAGAGGGCTTTATAGACATGATCAAATACAGCATCAGAGTGGATTTAGAACACATGTTTTGAGGAGCTCTGAGACTTATTTACACTGGTTGAAAAGGAGGAGGATATGTGACCTTTAATAAAGTTTACTAGGGGATAGTGAGTTAAAGATACCACACAATACAATTTAAAATCTATACAAATACGGACAATTTCAATCGACTTGACAAAAACATGTATTGCAATGTTCTTGTTTTAACCAGCAGAGGGTGCTATTGTGTCTTGTTTTAAAGCAGGAGTGAAGATAACGGAAAAAAAAAAATGTGTGTAAAAAACTGATGAACATCTCAATAAACCCAATAAAATTATGCAGCAAGTAAAGTACGACACACAGCAAAGCTGGAGACACCTAAAACAAATTGATAACAAAAGGTGGGAGGCAAATTTGAAACTCATCCATCTATCAATTATTTATACCTGCCTTTTCCTGTTCAGGGCTGGAGTCAGTCCCAGCTGTCATTGGGCGAGAGGCGGGGTTACATCCTGGACTGGTCTCCAGCCAATACAGAGACAGACAACCAGTCACACTCACATTCACACCTACAGGCAATTTAGAGTCACCAGTTAAGCTAACCAGCATGTCTTTGGACTGCGGGAGGAAGCCGGAGTACCTGGAGAGAACCCACACATGCACAAGGAGAACATGCAAACTCCACACAGAGAGGCTCCTGTCAGACTGGGATTCAAACCAGGAACCTCCTTGCTGTGAGAACAGCACTAACCACTGCACTACCCTGCAGCCCTAAGTTTGAAACCCAGCTTGCCTAAATAAGTGCAAGAGCCACAGAAATCACTACATGCATTAATGTTTAAGGATAGGCTGAGGAGAGGAGCCGGGGACGGGATCATTAATTATTGCCCTATTTTTGTTTTTTTACAAATTTTTTTGGGGGGCTATTTGTGACTTTATTTGAGAGATAGGATAGTGGATAGGGTCTGAATTGGGGGAGAGAGGAGTGAGGAACAACATGCAGGAAAGGAGCTACAGGTCGGATTTGAACCTGGGCCGCCTGCTTGAAAGAATACAGCTTCCATACATGGGGCGCGCGCATTAACCACTGCGACCCTTTTTATAAATTTTTTTAATTTGGAAAAATTTAGAAAGTTTAGAAAATCCACAATAACACCTGTGAAGCAAATATTGTGATACGTATATCATCGCTACATTCCTACAACTTACAAAAAGTGAGGTTTGAGCATCCCCTCGTCAGCTTTACTGACCCCCTCCTCAGGTCACATCTGTTCTGCTCTCCAGCCTGCAGAGCTTCACTGAATCCTGCTTGAACAAAACATCCACTCATTGAAAACACAGTCCTGACATAATAACTGCAGTGAAACAATTAAAATGTCTGTAAATCAGGTAATAAAGGCTGTACAATGTTAAAAAGATGATTCCCTGGTTGACGTTTTTTATTCAAATTCAAAAATCCGTTTGTTTAGTCTGCGCATAACAAACGGAACAGTTAGCATATGAAAAAGAGAACTTCACTATTCAACCATAAAAAACGTCCTCAAGGACTCCCACTCGTGCAAACACACTGCAATTCTCCGTCATGGTCCCTCTCTCACCACATCTCTTTTATCTCTTGCACTCTTTATTTCGCTCGCCCTCGTGCCCTCTCTCTCTCTCTCTCTGGGGAGGCACAGTCTGATTGTAGTGAATCATTAAGAGGGAAGGCCTCAGGAACAAAACAGCTGATTAATTCTGAGCACAGTGTGACTGAATGAGCTCGCATTCTCTCTTCAGATGAGGGGCTGTCGGTGGCCGAGCGGACCTCCCTGCAACAGCTGAGGCCAAGAAAATCTGCTGGATCTTTTTTTTTAAAGTTTTTTTTTGGGGGCCTTTTTGGCTTTATTGGACAGGACAGCTGAAGAGAGATGGGAAATGTTTGGAGGAGAGAGAGGGGGATGACATGCAGCTAAGGGACGAGGTCGGATTGGCCTCCATGCATGGGGCTAACTACATAACTACTAGGCTATCAGGCGCCTCCAAAATGCTGGATTTTATTTATTTATTTATTTTTAATTGACAGACAAGGCAAAAAAATAAGCGAAAACTAATTCTACTCTTTATGTTGTCTTTTAGGTCGCACGGTGTAACAGTGGTTAGCGCTGTTGTCTCACAGCGAGGAGGTTCCTGGTTTGAATCCCCGTCTGACAGGAGCCTCTCTGTGTGGAGTTTGCATGTTCTCCTCGTGCATGTGTGGGTTCTCTCCGGGTACTCCGGCTTCCTCCCACAGTCCAAAGACATGCTGGTTAGGTTAACTGGTGACTCTAAATTGCCCGTAGGTGTGAATGTGAGTGTGGCTGGTTGTCTGTCTCTATATGTCAGCCCTGAGTTTGGCTGGAGACCAGTCCAGGGTGTAACCCTGCCTCTCGCCCAATGACAGCTGGGATCATCTCCAGCCCCCGTGACCCGGGAAAAATGGGAAAGCGGTATAGATAATGGATGGATGGATGTTTTCTTTCAAAATCCCCCCTTTCTTTTACTCTTCTGATTCAAACCTTTGTAATTTCTGCATTTTTGATAGTGTGCCGGACTTTGTCTTCTTGTTCTGCTGATTAAAAAACTAGAAAACTATCGATGTGGTATCCAAACAGAGATGATTATTGTTTGAGTTTTACTTGACTCATATCAAAGTTTAAAATTCTTTCATCTCTGTTTGTCTTGTGTTTGTATGCTGTATAAATGAAGCTTCAGCGTAGCATAAAGATGTGCAAACATGGCTGTGTCTAAACATGAAATATTTCCGCACTGAACACAACACAACAGAAAACAGAACTGTGTGAGCACAATTATTACTCGTCTTGGAGCAACGACTCCCTGAACTAAAGTCACATTTTGTCGGGAAAGAACCATAGAATTCAGGAAGTCCTTAAAACCACAACAAGACTTTTACAATGTGTGTTTTTGT